TTTTTTTTTTTTTTTTTTTTTTTTTTTTTTTTATTTTTTTTTTTTTTTTTTTTTTTGATTAGGATATATTCTGATAACTTGTTTTACCTAATAATTTATTCTTATGTGATTTAGTGATGGGAAATCTGCTTTGAGTGGCTTATGTCACGGTCAACTCAAGCAGATTTGGCTGTATTTGAAATGTGTAGTCAACACACGCCTTGTAAGCACTTACGTACCAGGTTCTCCATCACGGCCTCTTCTTCCTCGCTTCCCGGGAGGTCCTGAAACATAAAGAAACATATTCAGTCAGAAATTGGACGATTTTTTATGTTCCTATCCTATCCTTTAAAAGTTATACTGCTCCCCATCAGAATGAGAAGTGACCACTGAAAAGTTTAGTTAATCATACAACTCTTCGTAACTGGGCCGTTTATCACGTATTTAGCTGCAGTAGGTGATGTCTTTTACTTTTTCAGCACGACTGCCTTTGTTTTCAGCTTGTTTATCTCGACTTTTGTTTTTCTCTTTCTTTTTTGTGTGTCTGAGTGTGGGTGAGAGAGAGCGAGAGAGACGACACTGTCCTACTGTTAAAGCTCAGCTGGGGGAGTAAAAACAATTACACGCGTTGCCAGGTTTTATATGGTGAAAACCTGACTGGGTTGTACTGTGTGTGAGTAGTCCACAGAAAGAGATAGAAAAGCTTAAGAGTAATTTTCTAAAAATGACCTCCAAGCAATGCTTTCAGTGTTTTCATGTGTCTACAAACTGACTCTGTTTTTTGTTTGGGCTTTTTTCTTTCTACTACTGTGTGTTCACAGTTTAAAATGATAAAATTATCACTCTGACACATTTAGAACAGTTAGGCTGTGAACAAAGAACTGTGTTGGTACTCTCACCCTCACAGAGTTGAATGGATTATGAGAAAGAGAGATAAACGGTACTTTCTTTACAAATCAAATAGGATTTTTTATACTGTAAATCGATTTTTATATTTGCTATGTGGTAACTGTATTTTTGGTTCCAAATCCTACGTCCACAAATGATTTAGAAACAGGGTTGCATTTGAAGAATTATAATATTCTTCAACTACAATAAACTCCCAACCCCAATTCTACCTAATAGTACAGGTACATATCATGTAAGTACAGCCACTAAGGATGTCCCAGGTAAGTACTAAGTGTATACCAAGTAAGTACCAATAATGTGCCAAGTAAGTTACTGTTACGGCCAGAGGTCTTTCTTCTACAGTATGTTTATGCTAAAGCATGGAATGACATTCCTCAAAACAAAGTCCATTTCAAAACTACAGCCCTTTAAGAAGAATCTTGTCTGCCATCTGCTGGACACTTTTTGTTGTGCTCATATTTAGACGTCCTATTTTGCAAATGCTGCTGTGGTGAATTTTCATGTATGGCCCTTTAAGAAAATGTGAACGAGCGTGTCGGACCGGAGCGCGCATGAAGGCGGGCACGCGCTTTCTTTGGGCAGAGTCTGAGTAACATCTTAGCTGTGTGGACGGTCTTTAGTGTCTCTCGCTGAATAAACATGTCCAGAACTGAAGAAATAGTCTTTTCGTCATTTAAATGTTAGACTAGAGTTTATTGACATCTGACAAGTCTTCAGGAGAAAGTCCACTGGTTTTCATCGACCCAGGAGAAGCCACCGACAGCGGAACCAGCCAGCCGGCCCAGCCCCGAAGAAGCAGCACCGACAGCAGAAGTGAGCGTCCAGCAGCTGACAAAGCCGAACCGAACCGAAACGGAACCAGAGACCAAACAGAGACACTACACTGCCTTTTTGAAATTTGGTATGCTTGTTTGTCTTTGTGTCTATGGTGTATAATGATGTGATTGTGATGCTGTAACTCTGAGTGTTTTATGTGCTGCAGAATAGGAACCTGCTGTAAAACAGCAATTATGCTGAGTCAGGCTTGATTTTTAATAATCTTTTCCTGTTAAATAAATCAAATCAAATCAAATCAAGTCAAGTACCAATAATATCCCAGGTAAGTACYAAGGGTGTACCATGCAAGTACCAAGGATGTAGCAGATAAGTACCAAAGGTGTACCAGGTAATTACCAAGGATGTAGCAGGTAAGTACAATGGGTGTAGCAGGTAGGTACTGAGGATGTACCAGGTAAGTACCAAGGGTGTCCCAGGTAAGTACCAAGGATGTACCAGGCAAGTTCCAATGATGTAACAGATAAGTACCAAAGGTGTAGCAGGTAAGTACCAAGGATGTAGCAGGTAAGTACCAAGGAAGTCTCAGGTAAGTATCAAGAATGTCCCAGGAAAATACCAAGAATGTCCCAGGAAAGTACAAAGAATGTCCCAGGTAAGTACTAAAGGTGTACCAGGTAAGTACCAAGGATATAGCATTTAAGTACCAATGATATACCAAGTATAGTATATACCAATTATCTGCCAAGTAAGTACCAAGAATGTACCAGGTAAGTTCTAGGCATGTACCAGGTAAATACCAAGSATATCTCAAGTAAACATAAAGCATGTACCAAGCAAAGTCAAGGTAACAAGTCACTTCATATCACAGCCTTGTCTCTGTAGGTACCAGGCATGTTTCAGGTATGTGTCCTGCAAATATTAGACACATACCTAGTTAGGTATAGGTGCATAACTTTAAGTACCAGGCATCTACTCAGTAATACAGGCATGTACCCAGTAAGTACAAGATATTTAGCAATTCATAGCACAGGCCAGGAGACATAAATGCCAGGTATATACCACATTAYCACATACCTTCTAAAGATTAAGTATGCAMCTTGTAAGTATCAGATCTGTAATGTAACAACTATATTATGTACTGCCAACAAATAGTGTAAGATTTCTTTTTTGACTGATTTGTATTTATTTTTGTAGTCCACAAGTGGTACAAAGACACAAGACTTAAGGTTGTATTACAAACTACTTGTATGATGATAAGTTCTCGATTTGATTCCATTCTTAGTCTACGGCTTCAGTTTCCAGCTCTGTTCCTGCTGAGCCGCTTCCAAGATAATGTCAAGCCCTGTCGGTAAAGAGTCCAGGCTCAGTTTTGTGCAACCACAGGTGAAGTTTGACTCTTCTATTTACCACGGTTCGCATCAACCCTTGGTTTGTTCATTGGTTTGTTTTTTAAAAGGGTTTAAAAGAAACAAAGTGGTTTACTGCACTTGGCAGTCAGTTCATGTTTGCTCGCTCTGAATGACATTTGACACCCTTGAAATGGAAGATTTTCTATCAAAATATGGCATCTTTCTGATGTCAGTGATTGATTGTTGATAGCTGCTAAAAAAAAAATAAAATTAACTTAAAAGCCTCAGTAAAAAATTAACGCATGTCATCAATATTTCTGATTCCAAAACAAAATATAACATCATAAAATTTATAAAATAGGTTTTAGATGAATTCATTAAAAAAGAAAAGACAAGAACTTTTGGTCATAAATGAAATCTGTCTCGCTGATTTTGGCTGCTATTTTCCCACAGATTCCCATGAGCGGTCATGGAACAATGCTTTCAGAAAAAAAAAAGTTTGGGGCTGGGAATTTCATGAGGAGGGTCAGTAACTTTGAACAATCTGTTAAAACCTTTTCAACGGCTTTTTTTTTTTTGTCTGCCTGAAATAAATCAAAGGGAACTTAATATTCTCTCAGATGTTTGGTCAAGACAGAAAAAAATGAATCCTGTGGTTTCTGCGCGTTCCACTTTCTGCCATTTAGTGGCTTTTGCACTTAAAAGTGAGCAGCACAGAACAACTCTACGATGCTGAAACAGACGGATAAAATGGCATCAAAAGTAGAAACTGGTTATTAATGTTTGGTTTCATTGAAGAGGGTGGCAGTACTATAGGTGGCTGTTAATCAGATTAAAACCTTTCTAAAGTCACTGTCCTGAAATTTTCCTTAGATTTTGATGGACCGCTCAGAACTTTGCTAAAAGGCAGATTGATCGTTTGGCTGTAATTAGACTTGTTAGGATCTGTGATTTTTGTTAGGTTTCGTTTCTTTTTTGGTTTGTCTGTTAATTTTTTGTTTTGTGACTCTTGCATTCAGTTCTGTTTACTTGTGTTATTTGTTTAGTCCTTGTGTGTTCCTCTGTGCCAGCAGCCACTTCTGCTCAGTCAGTCTGACATGCCCACCTACACCTGTCCCGTTTCACCCGTTCACACAGCTGCAGTCACTCCACTCATCAGCCTGAGTCCGTACAGCCTGTGCATTGAGCATTACCAGGGAAAACGTTAAAACTATTTACTCGTACACAATAAAACTAAAAAAATAAAAGTAAATAAAACATCAAAACTTTGGCAAATTTAAAAACAAGACTTTGACATCAAGTAATGATGCTTCAATATTTACTTTCATAGCCGTGCTTTTGATTCTGACCACCGGCCGAGTTATAAATCTATAATATTGGGTTTAAAGTTGACTGAAGCCTGACGGAATGCATGTTTTAAACTCATCTCTATAYGTTGGTCAGTTGACTGTGGTGGCCAGCTTTGATTGGGATGACTCTAAAAGTTAATCAGTTGTTGAAGAACACCCAGTCAGTTTTTCCTTAAAGTTTCATTAAAATAAAACCAGTGGTTCATGAAATATTCTGCTAACAGACAGAAACACATGACCACACGTCTCATGGCAGCAGCCAATGATGACCTTAAAAAAAAGTCAGTTTTGACTTTTGAACTCTTCTACACTCAAATAACCCCAGAACGCAGCATCACTACACAAAGCTGAAATGAAATCTTTGCTGTAACTTTTGTGCAAAAACACTTGGAAGCGGTACACTTTAGTGGTCAAGTAAATAAATTACATTCTCTGTTTGACACAGTCACACAAYACTGTCAAACATAACAACAAACCGTATTCCAAATTGCTACCCGGTGACTTTCCCAGATCCGTTGTCAAGTCCGGTCGACATCAGTTGTGTTAAACGATCACGTAAACTCGACACGCTGCTCAAACATGACAAACAAAATCACAACTCCATTCATCACCGCAGTCTGGGATCAAGACGAGCACCACAAAACCGTCGGCACCACCAAAACAKAAAAGTAGATTAAATGCATTTTCAGGAAAAGTCATGCAGCGGTGGATTTTTACATCCCACGCTATTTCTGCTCCAAAGTACTGGCAGAAGTAGTTATTTGAATGTGATTTTGCATGAAGGAATGTAACAGCCATCACTTTTRAACATGAATACTTTTACGCCTATATGGGTGTACAGCTGATTGACTTTTGGAGTCAATCCACTTCAAGTTGGTCACCACAGCTAATGAATAATAGCCAACACAAAAATGGGTATAACTCAGTTTTGTTTGTAGATGTTGAGCTAAAATATGATGTGGTAGTT